CACACACACACACACACACACACACACACACACACACACACACACACACACACACACACACACACACGCGCGCGCGCGCGCGCGCGCGCGCGACGCATGCTCTAAGGTCGTAAGTATACTTATACAAATGGTTAAGATAATGATAATAGAAGTAACAATATCAAGAACAAGAAAAAGAACAAGAACAAGGACAAGAACAAGAATATATTCCTCGAGACTTTAGAAGAGCCTCCTTGGCAATTACAAGCCTGCATGTCGCCACCAGTCCTGTTGATAATGTTAATTACGCTTCTTCTGCTCTCTTGCAGAACTTCTTTTAGAAAAATTATTGCTGATCACGTACTTGACACCATGCTTATATTTGTTATTTGACCCTGAGAACTGTTCTTATTATTAGTAATGAGGGAATAATAAAGTGGTTACTTATAAAAACTGTGCTCTTTTCTGAATGCTTCCAATGTAATGGTGTGCACAGAAACAATACATGACGTTTTTGAAAGTAATGAAAGACTGCCCGACTATAGGCTAACAATAATATGATTTCTGGGATGCAATTCTGTTAAGTCACTTGTGCTTCTTCATTTAGGTGTATGTTGTCGACCACCTATTAGATGTCGGCCTGCTTACCTACTTTCGTATGTTACTTTTACTTTTTCATCTTCTCTTATTGTAAAGCGTTTGGGGAGATGCCGTTTTTTATGGTAGAGACCAGCTCTGCAGCTCTTTCAGTTGGGATAATATTATAATTCCCAGGGTTTTATTGACTCCCCCAAACCATAATATTATATGTAGGCCTTGGTTTGTGGGGACCAAATCATAATACAGTGGAGTCCACTTATAACGAGTCCTGAAATAACCAGAAGTCTGTTATAAAGACACTATTCTAAAACCCCGTTTTTTCCCTTCTTTATCTTTGTAAATAAAATACTGTTATTGTGCAATCGTACAGTCACACGAGTCGGTTATAACGGAATATTGCCGCTGCTGTGCACAATTAAACATATAAAACCTCGCCAGTTGAGAAAGGTGCTGGTGATCCAGCGAAACAAAGAATGGGAGAGCCCATGCGAACCAACAATGAAGGCGGGAGCGAATGAGTTGGGAAGGTGTGGCATGCGCAGACAAGCAGAACGCATCGCGTGATATGCCAGCCCTGTCTAGATTATCTAGTAGAGACGGGCGGGGAGCGCTTTTTCCTTCCCGAGCGAGAAGACCGAGAAGCTGACCTACTTCTCGCCGGGACCGGTCACGGGAACGAGAAATACTTCCCGTCTCGTGTCTCGAGCAATGCTTCTCGTCTCGTGACCAATTTCTCTTCTCGCCCCGCAGTTCGAGCCGCTCGTTCAGCGAGAAGGCCGGCCGTGGCCGAGATTTCTCTTCTAGCCCCACAGAACGAGCAACTTGTTTAGCGGGAAGGCCGGTCGTTGCGGGGATCTAAACTTAGAAACTAGGCTTGCCCTGGTGCGCAGGCGCAGGCGGTGAAGGAAGGTAGGGAGACGACCTAGGCCTAGGCCCTGATCAACTCCCCACTCGCCTCGTCCCACCACCCTCTCCCCTCCCTTTCAGTATCACACCCAGGACGGCACGGTGATGGGTGGCACTGTCTGCGTTGTCATTTCTCGCCTCTCACTCTCTCACTCTAGTTACTGTTACTCGTTATGTCAAGCCAACGAGCAGCATCACGTCTCGGTACCGGGCAGTAGTTTAGTGCCCGGGCAGTGACGAGAAGGGCGTTTCTCGCGAGAAACGAGTACTCGGCTCGTCTCTTGCCCGCCCCTATTATCAAGGCATACCGTGCCTCTCACTTCTCTGGTGCGGGATGGAGAGGTCACAATGCTGTGATAGATGGAGTGAATGTGTGACGTGCGCAAGCAGACGCAACGCACCACAGGGCGCGGTGGGGTGGGGGACAACACAGCGGGCGAGTTAGCCTAGAGCCAGAGCCCCTTCTTTCTGATCTCCAACGCCGAGCTGTCAACATTGCTAGTGCTAGAGAAAGAAACCTGATTCGATTTTTGATCAAGTAAGACCTAGAGATCACGTGGAACAAAATCATCATCAGGGGAAATACAAAAAAGAATAAACAGAACACTAAACTCATATATTATGTTTACTTTACTATTTCCCTTGAATTTATTACTGGATCCCTTATAACGAGAATCCTGCTATAACGGACTTTTCGCACCGCCCCCCCCCCTTCTCTTTCTCTCTCTCTCTCTCTCTTTCTCTCTCTCTCTCTCTCTCTCTCTCTCTCGTTATGACAGGATTTCACTGTATTATAATAAGGCCTTGGTTTGTCCACCTGTTACGAATGTCACCTAGCTCGCCTCGAAAGCACTGGCATGTTAAACGTGTCGTTTCTGGGCGTCACTGCGCAACGCCCTGTTTGTCCTTAGAATTTGAGGTAGGGTTTTCGTGTCTGGCTCAAAGGCACACCCCAGAGATCACCCATCTACACCCAAATGACCACCCATCTACACTCAAGTGACCACCCATCTACACCCAAGTGACCATCCATCTGACCCTCGTATCACCAACACTTGCTTGGCATTATTTTTTTGTGTGAACTCACTACTCACTCGGCCACTGGAGCCCCGGGTGTGGTTATAATGATGAAGAAGGAATTAGATAGGCGTCTATATGGTGCAATGGCAAGACACTTCAAATCTAAAGGTACCGGTTTCTGTGGTGCAGAAGTTGGGCACTTGCCGTCGCACGCAGAAGACGTGAGTTCGATTCCAGTGTGGGGAGATCTTTCATCGAGTATTCGGTAATTCTGCTAGGACAATAAACGTATCCTTCTCAGTCGTGTTGGCCTTGGTAGTCAGGGTCAAAGTCCGTCTGCTGGATAAATAGACAAATAAATAATGAATTGCGTTTTATTGATCCCCGAGGGGAAATTTTGAGTCTCGGTGGCAAACATACAAATACGTAAATACAAAATTAAAAATACTTTCATCCCAAGATACTCACATAAATTCACAATATTACACGAACACAAAACAATCTCACCAACATGTCATTGCTGGTCGTCACTGTGCAGCATCCTGCTTTTTGAGCTGGGGTTGTCGTGTGTTGCTCAAGGACACCCCCACTGACCACCCAAGTAAATCGCGTGTCATCGACACGACTTGCTTGACATTATTTATGAGTCCTAACTCACTACTCACTTTTCTACTGATTTGAGTAATGTCGACGGGGTGGTAAAACTTCTACAGTTTTTTTTTTCTTTGTTATATATTTTTTAAACGTTGTAAGATCACTTCTTCCGTTGAAAAGCCTCTTTAAAAAAGAGCAAAAACAAAACTCGGTATTTCGCTCTTTGTAACAAACCGATGTCTGAGGTGTAGCAGTTGGGAGTCTCACTGTCACAGTCAAGAGACCCGATTTCGATTCCCCAGCAGACTAGGGAGAACATTACATTATTAATTTATCGAGCGTCTCATATCATATCAGTCTTTCTGCTGTGATGTTGTATCTCTCTCGGCTCGGGTTGGCCCTGACGGGCAGGGTCAGACGCCCGCTTAGTAAAAGATCCAAATTGTGTACATGGGGGTTTAAAAACACGACCTACATTATTTTATTTTTAAAAAATGGTTTTCTCACATGGTGTTAGATCTAAATCTCACTCAGCCAGATGTACGGCCCTAATAGCCTGGCTTCTAAATGACCTAACTAGGATCGCTCTTCAACAACAGACCACAACGACAGTATTAACATACATAATCAGGATGATAATAATAAACAGTAAGAATACGACTTGTACATATTTTCATTTCAGTTTATTGTTTTCTGTATGGTCCTCGTTTATTGGACATTGCAATCTACTCTTCTTGCAGCCTTTTAGTGTCTCACGTTTTTTTGTTTGTTTTATTTGCTTTTTTAATTCATTGAAGACGTGCATTTTGGTCATTCTACAACGCTAGAAAACGCCCTGCTTTGCGACACTGAAAAAAGAAACCTTATTCATGCAGATGTCTCAATTCATGATTTCTTTATCTGACACGTAAAAAGACAGACAGCAACATGGATACTATAAAATTTGAAAATTCTTCTTTCTAATTTGTGTATGAGGGTTGGATGTTCCGCTTTAAACCAGCTTCTAGCCGGACATAATAATATTATCATTGTGTGTCAGATATAATCTTTAAAGAGTTGGCAGCCGTTCTTAAACTGTATGTTTTATTACTGAGTTCCGCACTGTCGTAAGCTGACAAAATGGGTTTTTAAAAAGTTTGGCACCATATTCTTTTTTTTTGTTTGTTGCGAAATCAAAAGCCTGATGCGTTATCTTACTTGTGCGAAAAAAATCAAAAAAAGTGACACAGATACTCTTTTTTATAATACATGTATTAGAATTCAAACTTCGGAAGAAAGCATTTTTAAAAATGGTTTCGCTGAAAAAAAGCCTCGTTATCTCGAAACTGCAGTGAATTTTTTTGTTCGAAAGACGTTTTGTCAGCGTACGGCAAATTTGGGACGAGGGGGGGGTGAAAGTCGGGCACAGCATTCATGGTGCGCAGCTGGAGCGAAAGTCTAGTGCTTCAGCTCAATCTTATGGATCCAGTCAGTGAAGGAGCTGACCCGCGTGAAGACGTCCGGGAAACAGCCGTTACAGTAGGTCAGGCCCCAAGACACGATGCCCACAAACTTCCCGTCACATACCAGGGGACTGCCGCTGTCACCCTGGAGGGGGGGGGGGGGAGAAATACAATAGATAGATAGATAGATAGATAGATAGATAGATAGATAGATAGATCGATAGATATATAGATAGATAGATAGATAGATAGGTCGGTCGGTCGGTCGGTCGGTCGGTCGGTCGGTCGGTCGGTCGGTCGGTCGGTCGGTCGGTAGGTAGGTAGATAGATAGATAGAGAGATAGATTAATAGATAGATAGATAGATAAATAGATAGATTTATAGATAGATAGATAGATAGATGGATAAATAGATAGATAGAATGATTGATTGATAGATAGATAGATAGATAGATAGATAGATAGATAGATAGATAGATAGATAGATAGATAGATAGATAGATAGATAGAGTGATTGATTGATAGATAGATATAAAGGTAGAGGTGTCGATTGCCCAAATACTACTTCCATCCCTTCAGAACTTGATTTTCTTGCTATCATGCTCCAGAGAAGAGACATTATCAATATGATCGGAACACGTTGTAAGTGTTGTTTTATTATGTCACATGTGTAACAGGGACATCCTATAACAATGTTACAATAACCACAAAGTAACGACTGTAAGTGGTTGGTAGGTGCTCTGGTGTGGTTTGCTACTTCTTCCGTATCAAACGTATTTTGCACACACACACACACACACACACACACACACACACACACATACACACACACACACACACATACACACACACACACACACACACACACACACACACACACACACATATATTATATATATATATATATATATATATATATATATATATATATATATATATATATATATATCTATATCTATCTATCTATCTATCTATCTATCTATCTATCTATCTATCTATCTATCTATCTATCTATCTATATATATATATATATATATATATATATATATATATATATATATATATCATCATCATCATCATTCGGTGCCTTGCCGACTGGCGTGGGCGATCATGGACCTCCACTTCACCCTGTCCTGCCTTGCAGCAATTGTGTCTGTTGTTCTTGCTGCTCCCAACCATGTTGTCATCTTGTCCAGTATCTTTTCCCTCTGTCTGCCTCTGCCTCTCTTTCCATCAAACTTTCCTGTTGTTACAATATTCTCTCATGCTTCTTTCCGCATTGTGTTTCCGAAGAAATTTGCCTGTCGTTTTCTAATATTCGTGATAAGTTGTTTTCTATAATTTGCTTCAACCAAGACTTCTTCATTTGTTTTTCTAGCTGTCCATGGGATACGTAGTATGCGTCTTATGAACCACAACTCTGTCGCTACAATTGTTCTTTCCAGCTGTTTATTGATTGTCCACGCTTCGCACCCGTATAATAGGATTGGCTCGATGTAACTTTTCAGTACTCTTTTCCTCTTTTCCAGTGACAGATTGATGTTTGTTAGTATCTGTTTCATCTTGTGGAAGGTTGCTTTTGTTTGGCAAAAGCGGCTTTTAATTTCGGTGTGACATCTACCATCTGATGATATAATGGTCCCCAAATATTTAAAATGTTGTACTTGCTTGAGGGTGGTATAATTGATTTTGATATTGCATGTTGGGATTGGACTTTTTCTGCTTATCACCATCGTTTCGGTTTTCTTGATGTTTAGGCTTAAGCCCATGTTGTCACTCTCTTGTACGATGGCATTTAATAGATTCTGCAGGTGTTCTTCATCTTCTACTATTAGGAGTGTGTCATCTGCATAACTTAGATTGTTTATATTATGTCCCCCTATCGAGATACCAGGCATTTCTTCTATGTGTCTCATGATATTTTCACTATACAGGGAGAACAAGTCTGGAGAAAGTACACATCCTTGTCTGACTCCTCTTTTAATCTGTATGTATTCGCTGATGTCATTTTCTATTCTCATTGCTGCAGTTTGATCCCAGTACATGTTTTTGATCATCCTTAAATCTCTCCTATCGATATTAAGAGCTTCCAGCATGTCGATGATCTCGTCGTGCCTAACTTTGTCGAATGCCTTGGTGTAGTCTATAAAACATAAATGAAGATCTTTCTGAACTTCTAGGACACGTTCTATTGTTGTTCTGATGACATATGGCATTTACAGTGCCTGTACCTTCAATAAATCCACACTGTTCTTGGGCTATTTCTGGGAGAATTTTATTTCTTATTCTCATCAAAATTATTCTGAGTAATATTTTTGTTATATGGCTCATGAGGCTGATGGTACGATGCGTTTCACATTCGTTTGCATTAGGTTTCTTTGGTAAAGCTATGAAGATAGATTTTGACAAGTCTGATGGAATATGTCCAGTGGCATATATGTTGTTAAGAAGTTTTGTCAGCGTGGTGATTCTAAAGTCTTCTAAAGCTTTAATCATCTCTGTGGTAATGTTGTCCGGTCCTGCAGCTTTCCCATTCTTCATCTGTCGTAGTGCCTAGATAACTTCTTCTTTCATGATTGGTGGTCCCTCGTTGTTATTTTCCACTCTTCTTTGTTCATCTCTTTTGTCATTGTACAGGTCACCGATATTTTCTGTCCAGCGTTCTAGTATCTTGTCTTTGTCCATTATGATATTCCCATCTTTTGATTTGAGACATCCTGTTGATCCACGTGTTCTTGTATGGCACACCTCTTTAATTTTTCTGTGCAGATCTTTTGAGTTCGCATTGGAATGATTTTCCATTTCCTCACATTCTTCTTTTAACCAGGTCTCTTTTGCTAGATTACATTTGTGTCTGATTTCTTTATGAAGATTCACATATTTTTCCATATTGTTTTTGTTTGTTCTTCGTTCCTCCATAAGATTAAGAATTTCTTCAGTCATCCATTTCTTCTTTGCTTTTGTTGTCCTTTCTGGTATGGCGTCTTTTGCAGCCTCATTTATAGATGTTTTAAGCGGTTTCCGTTGTTTTTCTATGTCTTGTATTTCTTCTAAGGGCCCGAATTTGTTTTGTACAGTTATTCTGAATTTATTTTGCATTTCTTTGTTTGACTGTAGTAATGCCTTGTTTAGTTTCATATTCTTGTTCTTGCTCATGTGTGGTTTTTTCAATCTGATTCTAAATTTTCCCACTACGGGTACATGGTGACTGTAACAGTCTGCACCTGGCCGCGTTTTGACATTTAGCATCCCGTTTTTGTGTCTTTTCTTGATCATGATGTAGTCGATCTGGTTGCGAGCGCTGTCTCCAGGACTCTTCCAGGTCCATAATCTTCTTGGTGGTTGTTCATACCAAGTGTTTCCAATAATCAAGTCATTCAGGATGGCCCATTCTATCAGTTTTTCTCCTCTTTCATTTCTGGTTCCCAGTCCATATGGACCCACTATGTCTTCATGTCTTGTTGCTCCCACTTTTGCATTAAAATCACCCATGACTATGACAATATCTTGTGATTTACAATGTGTCTTTGCTTGGTTTATTTCATCATAAAATTTCTCCATTTCATCTTCTGTGCTTTCTGAGGTTGGCGCATACGCTTGGATGGTGGTTGTATCGAATGGTGATCCTTTCAGTCTCACCATCATAACTCTGTCTGATATTGTCAGGTACCCCTTAAGTGTCTTCGATGTTGGCATGTCCATGATGACCGCTACTCCTCTTTCATGTTTGTCGCCTCCTGAGTAAATGCTGTTATAGTTGTCGGACAATATTCTGCCAGCTCCTGTCCATCGTACTTCACATAAACCTAGGGGCGTGGCGTAACTTCCAGAGAAGGTGGCGCCAAGAACAAAATTAAGCACAACGAATAGTATTGCCTACTTATGGCAGGCCTATAAACTGTAGACCTAATATACGCTTCTTCGTTTAATTTTAATACTGATACAGGGACACCTACATCCATGCGAGAAGAATATAAGTGCCGTTAAATCTTTTATTTATGGAAAGAACTGATGATAAAGAACCAAGTTCGGCGCTCAAGATGCGGACAATCACATCACATCATAATTGTTCACACACAAAACAATAACTTCCCACTGATGAACAGAAAAGCACACCTTCACAGCCAAGAACACGCATGCACTAGCTCCATTGCCCTCGGGGCGTCTTGACATAATGAACCCATTCCCTGATTCACTTGCAGTTCTGGTTTCTAGAAAGCAGACCATAAAACCTATTTTTAGACAGTTTGCAACCATGCCATGTCCAGGTCAATGATTATAAATACCTCTGGTCCAGGCTAACTACCACTCCATCCCCTCCCTACCATACAGGCGCCAAATCCATCTCGGCCCTTTGGCACAATAGTACAATCTCTTAGTGTGATGGGAGTACCTGTGGTAGCATTTTCGGCTGAGTTATGTTCTTGGTGATATCTCTTGTGTCTTCCGTCAAACATCTGGATGGGGTATTAAAGAAACTTTTTTTGCTATTCCGGGAAAGAAAACCCTGTTTCCAACTGATTGAAACAAATAGTTTATAGATCATTTTGAATTATTTTGACAAGACTTCACACCTAAACAATGAACACCCAGACGGGTTCAGGCAGAGACACTGGTTCAGGTAGCGCCCTCGGTGACGTCAGGCGTAGGGAACGAAAGACGCGGGGAGACCCTTGCGACCGGTCACGGGAGGCTTACTCGCCCTCCTCCCACTAGACTAATTATAGACACCTTAACTAAAGACTGGCGTATTTAGGGATGAAAAAATTTGTTTGAAAAAAATATTGTGATATTTAGTTAAGTTTTGGAAAATCGTATTCCCTTTTTTGAAAATCCTGTTCCATTTCAAAGGGTGGCGCCATGGCGCCATTTGCGCTTGGAGAGCCACGCCAAAACCCATGATGTTAACATTCATTCTCTTGATTCTTTCCTTGATGTTGTCCAGTTTTCCTTTCTCTAGAATTGTTCTCACATTCCAGGTTGCTATGTTTCTTGTTTGATTTTTCCTTTTGTGAGCAGTATCTTGATGACGATCTGGTGTCACCTGCTGTGCATGACTGACCCTACCGGACGAGGCAGTTCTTTCAGAACTCCCCTTTACGTCATTATTTTTATTTATTGAAGTGTTATGATCCATAATGTTCTAGGGAACGAATACAGCAGTGGTTTCCCCTTGCCTTCTGCTGGATTTTTGTACAGTTTACTCCGCTAGCCTTTATCCAAAAGGACTAACCCACAAGGCAGTGGGGGCAGGTGGCAGGTTTCGGCGCCTCCCTCTCGCCTGACAGTCTCTTTACTGAGCACATCAGGTATTTTATAGAGATAGGATTGCCACCACCCTGTCCTATCTCACTCTCCAAGACTGTCACCAGTTGGTCCGCGACTGCTTATTGGTTATTCGCAGCTACCCTACATAATGTAG